TATGAATGTACCGTAGAATCCATTTCACAGCTTGCCAATGACCTTTCCCAGGGTCATGCATATACCTGCTAACAACACCAACTGCTTGTGAAATGTCGGGCCTTTTACACACCATCGTATACATCAAACTGCCAACTGTATTTGCATATGGGACTCTAGCCATGTACTCTCGTTCTTCATCACAATTTGGCGATAACTGGGCACTTAACTTCAAATGAGGGGCAAGTGGTGTACTTACTGGCTTCGACTCATCTTTTATGCCGAAACGCTGTAGTACCTTATTCAGATATTGCTTCTGAGTCAAACAAAGCTTGCCTCTCACTCTGTCCCTGCTTATCTCCATCCCGAGAAACTTCTTAGCTTCCCCCAAGTCTTTCATCTCAAACTCTTGATTCAACTGAGCCTTCAATTGATCAATCTCCACTTGGCTCTTTGATGCAACCAACATGTCATCCACATACAAGAGTAAATAAATGAAAGATCCATCTTGCAGCTTGCGTCAATACACACAATGATCATGTCTGCTTCGCGTGTACTTCTGCCCAATCATAAACTTATCAAACCGTTTGTACCACTGCCTCGGAAATTACTTCAGCCCGTACAACGATTTGTTCAACTTACAGACCCAATTCTTTTTCCAAGTCTGGCTGAGTCATGTAGATTTCCTCATCCAAATCTCCGTGTAAGAACGTCGTCTTCACGTCAAGTTGAGCTAGCTCTAAATCTAACTGTGCTGCTAAGGCCAACAAAATTCTAATGGAAGAGTGCTTAACGACTGGAGAAAACACTTCACTATAATCAACTCCTTCCTTCTGAGCGTAGCCTTTAGCCACCAATCTTGCCTTGTAGCGCACATCATCCTTATGAGGAAATCCATCTTTCTTTGCAAATACCCACTTGCATCCTATCGCCTTCTTGCCTCTTGGTAGTTGCGTCACCTTCCAAGTTTGATTCTTCTGGAGGGACAACATTTCTTCCTCCATAGCCCACTTCCACTTCTCATTTTCTAAACTTCGAATTGCATCTTGAAAAGTGAAAGGTATGTCATCATCAACAATTGGAAGTGCATAAGCCACCATATCCGCCAATCGAGCAGGTTGTTGAATCTCTCGTCTGGGCTTTCTCAATGCAATGGGTAAATCTAATGATTCATGAGTCTGAACTTCATCATCCGACGAATCGTTTGATATTGTTTCGTCGATCATAGCTGGTTGTCTCGTCATCGCATCTATCTCCACCTGCTTTGGTGTCAACTCCACCTGTTGGGTTTGCGTCGTCTTTATCGTACTTTGTTCATCGAATGTAACATCCCTGCTAAATACAGTTTTGTTCGTCTCAAGACACAAAAGACGATATCCCTTCACGCCAATTGTGATTCCCATGAACAAAGCTTTTTTCGCTCTTGGATCTAACTTTGAATCCTTCACATGATAGAACGTAGGACACCCAAAGACATGTAAAGATCCATAGTCAGCAACAGGTTTCCCCGACCAAACCTTCAACGGGGTTTTACCATCTTTTGCAGATGACGGCAAA